CTAGCTTGAATGAGCTAATAGTATTAGCAGGCTCAGAAAGCTCTGGTCCAACAATATCCATCAGGTACTGAACAAAATCACCCTGCCCAAGCAGCAAATATCGCTTGATAGCGAGACAGTGTTCTTTAAACTTATACCTCTTGTATATAACATCCAACAAATGCTTATCAATTCTCTTAGCTGCTTCCATGACTAGAGACTCAAGTGCATCAGTTTCTCCATATCCAAGACCACCTCTTCTAGTTGTAGTTCCAGCAGCAGCTGCAGACTCTGTTGTGGCATCAGCCCACCCTCGGTCATCACAACAGACACGAAGAAAATTAATTGACTTCCCAGTCCTCAGAATGCGCTGAGCAAGAGATTGTGAAATAAATGAGGGCAACATTCCAGCATGGAGCCGGTAACCTTCTCTCCAAAGGGATTCAGCTTTCACTGGTTGCCCCACAATAAAGAACTCAGCAAAAATATCCTCCAATTCCCCTTCCAAAACCCAACTCCTCACCATTTCAAAAAGAGGAGAACAAACCCTCCTAAGCAATCTCCTCATGAAATCATGAACAAGTGGGTCACCATGCTGTGCATGCAAATGAATAGCACCAGCCATTGCCCCACCCCTCAGAACTTTGCATTTATCAACCAAAACAGCCATTAACCTCATTTTCACCATTGGCTCAGCAAACCAAACTGACAATCTCCTCAAGGATAAATAATTCCCTGAACTTGCATTCTCTGAAACCAACGGGATCGGATTCATTGACTGAGCCTCTAGCACAGCCAACAACTTATAATACTCCGATAGCTCATCCTGCAAAGCAGCACAAAATGCCTGACCAACAGTCCCCACATCTTCAGCAGGAAAACGATCCATACTCTCTGAGATATAACCTTTGACTTTCCTAAACAACCACCCTAACTCACAAAGCTTCCTAACAATAATCCGAGTACCTCTAGGTACCTTAACTGAATCCGATAAAGCATAACCATCTAAATTACTATCAAATTTCACATATTTCCCATCAATCCCTTGACAGGCATACAACACATCTCTTACCAAAACCTCTTCAGTCACCTCATTCTCATCCTTAACCACATTCCGAAACTCCCTAAATGATATTTCACGCAAATTTTCAGGGTCTTTGGAAACCAATAAAACCCCATTTTTCCAATCCTTTTCTCTACTCTCTTTACCATTCAGAGCTCTCAAGTCATTACCCACTCCCTCATCATTTAACCCTAAATTAGGCAAGAAAACCGAAGAATCCATGCCATTGTTGGCGGTTTTTCGATCTTCGGACACAATTTTAAGCAAATAAAGAACTGCCCATTTATTGTTAACACTACCCGGACCATTTTTGGAGGCGAATTTGGTATAGAGATCAGCAAAAGTGAGGGCATCAGAAGAGTTACCTTGAGTGGCGAGACGGCGTTTGATGGATTCAGCTATTGCGTCCGCATCAGGGGCAATGGAAGGGGTTAAACGGCTGGAGAGTATGCGGAGAGCATAGCGTAGAGATTGGGAGAAATGAGGAGAGTTAAGATTAGGGCTTTGTGGGTTTTGAGGGTTTTGTTGAGAAAGTAGGCGACGGACCAGCTCGATTACTAGATCTGTGACTTTGCGTTGATCTTCTTCTTCCATTTCTGAAACAGAAAGGGAAAGGAAGGCTTTTTAAAAATAACAAACAAAAAAGAAAATTAGAGATTTAAGAGTGAGAAATTTGGTAAAGGGTTTTTCATTTTTTGTTTGATTTTTTATATGGGCGGGCAAATGAAAAAGTTTCTTCAATTTTTTTTCCCCATTTCTTTCCCATTTTAAAACGTTTTATTTTTTAGATGGGTTTTGCTTCTCACATTAAGCCCATATATTTGAATAATGTGCCTATTGGCAAGAGAAAGTGGACCCTAATGGGCTTTGCATTCATAAGTTTGAATTTACAATTTTAGCAATTATGTTCAAGCCCACTTTCACAGTTTATGAACTCTATATAATGAGAATGGTAAATAGATTCTTAACTTATGCAATTAGGTTAATTGCTTGAATCATTTGCCTATTTGTAGCATCCTTCCATCTTTCTTATTGATCAAGCAAGAAAGACAATATGTTTTTTAAATCTCTTTCTTCAATGTGAGGTGCAATTGCCAACAACTTCAAACATGTAACATAACATGCGCAGTTAACCTCATGTTCACCAACTATGAGTTCAAATTCATACCCTTAACGTCCTTAAACTCTCATTCCATTATAATATCACCATTTGTTCTTTTTTACTTGAAGTTGCTAGAGATGAAATCCTAATCACTGAAATTAACAGGCAACACTTTATTAGCATACCACATGATTGATGGCTATCACCATTTGTTATATAATATGCAAATTTATATAATAAAACAGAGTACTAATAAAACAAACAATTTTATTATTAAAACAATTTTCGACTTTTGTGAGATATAATTTCAATATATGAAGCCAAGTTGATTGAAATGTGTCATTGGCCAAATACATAAAACTTGTCAATAATTACGTTATCTGTTCAAAGAATGCTACTCTTAGATTTGGTGGTGACTAGAATCTAAATTTTGCACAACCTTACAAGATTAAACATATTGCATTTGAAATTGAGAACATCAATATATACATATGTCTGACCAAAAATATATATATATATATACACATATGTTATGTTGGTTTTATATATTAGAAATTTTTTAATTCATTATATATAATTAGAAATTTATGCTTATCTTATCTGAAAAATAAATTAATTTCGATGGTTGCTGGGTGGCAAACAAAGTAATCATGACAATATATTTTAGATCTTGGTAGTAGATAAAACAGGACAAATGAAACTGCACTATTTTTTGTATGGGCAATGAAGGAATTAGATTCCATTAGGAGGAGAAGGCAACTTTATAATTTGGTAGGTAATACAAACACGGTTATTTTTATGCAAATCCGGCAACAACATTCTCCTTCTTTTAGCATTTGGCTGAAAAAGAAAACTCTTTTTTAGGTCAATCATGTTTTGTCTTAGTTATACTATACATTCATTCAATTAAAATTGGTAAAATTTGAGTTCCTCCCAACTGTCCTAAGTCCTAAGCCATAAACAGTCATAAGAATCAAGTTTGTGTATTCGTGAATGTAAAAAATTCATAGAAAATTTCATGAATATCAGAGTATGCATGAAATCAACTTACTGTTTGACTTCTTCCTCTTGACTTATGGTTAAGAGGTAGGAGAGTTATATAAATCTTTGAATCACATCCCCTCCTCTCCCTCCTCTCCCTCCTTGTAAGTTGTAAGAGAGAGAGGGAGGAAAAAAAAACTTTACTCGGATTAATTTGAGTTCGACCTGCGTTGCGCAGTTGGATGGTGGGTGAATGTACCAACAAAGGCGGCTGCGTATGTAAGGTTTCGAATCTGAGACTTGTTTAAACTGAAGAAAGGCGTTTATCACTTAATCCAACCCCATATTGGTAAAAGGCTATTATTTATTTATGAGTGTTTTCTTTTATAAATGCATCTTGAAGCCAATAATCACCCTGTCTATTGGTAAAATACTATGTAAATCATTAATTACAATAATCATCCATATTTAAATCTTGATATATTAAAAAAATACATATGATACGAGATTTGAAATGATAGAAGTTATATAAAATTGGCTAATTGTTGAGGGCAAAATGTTTCAATTTGGCTAAAATGTCATTTTGCATCCTGGAGTTTATACGGACTATCACTTTGCACCTTACTTTTTTATTTTGATCAAAACATACCCTAATGTTTTATTTTTGTTCCACTTTACATCCTCTGTTACGGTGAATTAACGGCACCGTCATGGAGTCATACGTGGCATGCCACGTGGCATACTGACGTGGAAAAATTTTATTCTTTTCTTTTTATGCTGACGTGGCATGCCATGTGGCAATTTTCATCCATCATAACGAACTACTAAAAAACGCTGTGATAGAGGCGTTTATTTTTAAGAATAGGGGCGTTTCATAAAACGTTGCAAAAAGCGACGTTATCAAAACCGTCGACATTTTTCGCGGCGTTCTATAAGGGAAACTTCGCTATACTTCGTGCCGTTTTATGGGGTCAAACGCCGCAAATTTAATTTATATCTCCTTTTATTGAAAATATATTTACTTTAAAATTTTTCTATTAGGGGCATTTTTAGACAAAACACCCCTAATTAAAATGAAACAGCGACGAAAACACCCCTACATAGTGACGTTGTCTACCAAAAACGTCCCTAAATTTCGGCATTTCTGGCTTTAAACCATCCCAAACTTAATGACGTTTTGGATAAAAACGCTCTGAAATAATGGCGTTTTCCACAGCAAAACACCCCTGTATTGTGACATTTTAGTATGTAAAACGCCCCTAAATGTCTAATTTTTTTTACTTTTTTTGGTATATCTAAAGGCGTTTTCTTCTTCAAACGCCACCATTTTGGGTCGTTTTCTTCATCAAACGCCTCCATTTTGGGAGCTTCATCAAACGCCTTCAAATTTTGGGGTGTTTGCTTCAACAAACGCCACTATTGTGCGGCGTTTGCTTCTTCAAACGCCACTATTTTGGGTCTATTCTAGAAAATTCTGCATAATTTTGACTGCGTTTACGGCCTGAATTTCCATTTTGCAGCAATAAATAACTGGAATCATTTTTAAACAAAAATTCTACAAAGATAAAATACAATAATCTGAATTTTTTTTTGTTCAAAATAAAGGCTGCATACAGCCGTTTCATTGATGATTAAGCAACCCCACCAAATCGGGTGGGGGGTAAAACATCCAATTGTATGGACAGGTACAGAGTTTAGTTTTCTTAGCTACCCAATCGGCAACTAAATTAGCAGTTCTAGAGACATAAACAAAGGAGACAATATCTCTATTTGTCAAACAGCGAATGTCATCTTCCACCGCCTTGAAGTCCCATCGACTGTTGCCTTTGGAGTTGTCAAGCCTGTTTACCAAGGACTTGTTATCAGATTCAACGATTACCTTCTGCCATCCATAACGGGTGAAACAAGGCTACAAGCAAGTCGTACTGCATAAGCTTCCGCTGCATCAATTGAGCCAACATGGATTAATCCTGATGCTCCCTGGACAATTGCTCCGCTATGGTCTCTACAAACAGCTGCTATACCAGCCTTGCCAGAATTCAAATCAAAAGCTGCATCACAATTTATTTTGATAAATTCAACAGGTGGAGGCTGCCAAGTAGTTCTCTGCCTCATATGGGCACCAGCTGAATTAGTAGTGACGGTAGCAGAGGTAAATTCATTAAATTCATGTTGAACATTGATCCAGACTTGTTTTGGGTCTCCAATCTGTCCTTCAAATATCAAGGCATTTCTGGCCTTCCACAGGTTCCAACAAAGATAACTCATGAGGCTGATGGAAATGGTCAAGTTGGCTCTTTCGAGATGAGAGTAGACTTCTTCCCACCAGTTTCTGAAACTGCCAAATCCCTCTCTTGTCGGCGTGTAGCTGAAGGTGGATACTCTCCAGGTGGCCTGTGCGAAAGGACAAAAAAAAAATTATGCTCGAGAGTTTCAAACTCCTCCCCACACCTTACATAACCCGAATGCCTTCCATGATGCCTCCTCAATAAATTTTCCTTTGTCGGGACTATATTATTGCATGCTTTCCAAATAAATGTTTTAATTTTAGGAGCAGTGTTAAGTCCCCAGATTTTCCTCCATACAAGGCTGGATTGTTGAGAGGTAGAAGTCGAAGTTTCCCTCCTAAGCTGCTGTTTTTTGCCATGGATAAATCTGTAACCTGACTTCACTGTATATTCCCCATCATTAGTAAAATGCCAAACGAGCTTGTCATGGATGTTTGGTGGTCCAATGGGAATTTGCACTATAGACTTAGCTTCATCTCTGTTAAACAGTTGAGAGATCACATCTTCTTTCCACTTCCTGCGAGCTGGATCAATCAAGTCTCTTACAAGATGGAGCCTATTCTTATTAGGAGGTTGAGAAGTCACTCTGAAGAAAGGCAAATTTGGTATCCATTTATCGTGCCATATCAAGACTTCTTCGCCATTGCTAATGTTCCATCTGGTGCCTTTCCGGAGGACTTCAATGCCTTCATACAAACTTTTCCAAGCCCATGATCCCCTTTTACCTTTATTGGCCTCCAACAAAGAGCTATGTGGAAAGTAAACACTTTTAAGGACTTTGAAACATAAGCTCTCGGGTCTTTTAAGAAGCCTCCATATTTGTTTTGCAAGCAAGGCCAAGTTAAAACTGTGAAAGTCACGAAAGCCCATGCCCCCCTGATCCTTGTGTTCCGCAAGGTGTGCCCATTTAAGCCAATGAACTCGATTTTCATTTTCATCAGAGCCAGTCCACCAGAATCTGTTGAGGATGCCATCAATGTCTTTGCAAAAAGATAAAGGGAGCAAGAAGCAACGCATTACGTAAACTGGTACCGCCGCCGCCACTGATTTGAGTAAGACCTCTCTGCCCGCATGAGAGAGAAGTTTTCCCTTCCAGCCCTGAACTTTCGATTGAATCTTATCGAAGATAAACCGTAATGCGGCTCTTTTCCCTCTACCCCAAATCGTTTGGAAGCCCCAAATATTTGCTATCATTTGCCAAATCCTGGACTCCGAGGCTTGATTTGATAACTCCCCTGCATTCACTGGGAACATTAGGAGAGAAAAAAATTGCAGATTTAGAAAAATTTACCATTTGGCATGTTGCCCTTTTGAATTTATCCAAAATGTTCAGAATTCCATCACAGTTTTGTTGGTTGGCAGTTGCGAAAAGAATACAATCATCAGCAAAGAGAAGGTGAGAGAGGAGTGGACACTGCCTATTTATTCGGAAACCTTGCCATGTCCCCTCGACCACTGTTTTTTTTATGAGGCACGATAGAGCCTCAGTGATGAAGATAAATAAATAAGGGGATAGTGGGTCACCCTGCCTCAAGCCCCTCTCTAGTTTAAAAGCCTCTCCTCTCTCCCCATTGACAACAATAGAAAATTGTGTTGTAGTTAGACATTCCATCACCCGACTGATCCAGAAAATTGTGCAAAAGTTTCTCCAAGAAAGGCCACTCAACTCGATCGTAAGCTTTACTAAGATCAAGTTTGAGTGCCATGTAGCCATTGTGACCACGTGACCTTCCTTTAAGAGCATGAAAAGCCTGATGGGCAACTATGATGTTGTCTTGAATTTGTCGGCCATGAATGAAGGCCGACTGAGTTGGAGAGATAATTTCGGGAAGGATGTTCTTCACTCTGTTTGCAAGAATCTTAGAAATAATCTTGTAGATGAAATTACATAGTCCAATAGGGCGGTGGTGGGCAAGGGTCTCAGGACACTGCTGCTTGGGGATAAGGATTATGTTTGTGCGATTAAGATCTCGCAATAAGTGACCACTTTCGAAAAAACTTTGAACTGCTTGGACAACTTGCGGTTTCACTTGTTCCCAAAACTGATGGAAGAAGATGCCCAGAAAACCATCTGGACCCGGAGCTTTGTGAGCTCCCAAGGAGAAAGCAGCTTTCTCTATTTCAGCAACTTCGACTAATGCATTAAGCCCCTCATTCATTTCCGGTGTGACCACTTCGTCGATGGCATCAAGGACTTCATCAATACACGACAAATCACCTGCAGTAAATAATTCCTTATAATACTCAGTTATGTAGCTTCGGATGTCAGCCTCATCAGTGATCCAATTGTCGTCACCACCTTTAATTCTTGTGATAGAATTCCTTCTCCTGCGTTGGATGGTGGTAGAGTGGAAAAATTTGGTGTTGCGATCTCCACAAAGGATCCAATTAAGTTTGGACCGTTGGTGCCAATGTCTTTCTTCTCTCATCCACATCTCATCAATCTCTTTTTTAAGAGATACTAGCTCCTCCTTCAATGGCTCCGTAAGAGGCTGGTTCTGAATATTCTGAATTCTCTCTTTCTTTTTTTTTTTGCTTCAATAGCCAGCTTCGGATTCTGAAATTTCTCCTTGCTCCACCTTCTAAGGTTCTCTCTAGTGGCTGCCATTTTCCGTGCAAGTTTAAACATCCTTAATCCCGAAACAGGTTCCTGCCATCCTTCTTCGACAATTCCCGAACACTCCTCATCAAGCAACCACTTCGTTTCGAATCGAAAATCCCTTCTCTTGTCGTTCTTGAGTTTATCCAGACAGAGGATGACTGGGCAGTGATCCGAGGCAGTACTGACCTCATACAACCCTTGAGCATTAGCAAACATGTCACTCCATTCAACTGTCGCCAAGGCCTTGTCAAGTCTTTCCAAGATGCTATCTTCTCATGTCCTATTGTTTGACCACGAGAAAGACCCCCCTTGTAATTCGATCTCTCGGAGATTGCAATGATGAGTAAAGTTGTTTAAAAGCCCTGTTTGGTGTTCATCGATTGGCCTGCCTCCACTCTTCTCGGCTTGGGAACAAACAACATTAAAATCTCCTATACAGCACCATAGGTTCTTGCCATTGCCGCGCAAACTAGAGAGAATTTCCCATACTTCTCTTCTCCCTGTTTTCTTAGGATCACCATATACAAAAGTGCAAAACCAAAACCGGTTGCAAAATAAATTGAGTCTAACATCAATAAAGTAACGTGAGCTATGCAAAACACTAAGATTAAAATCACTAGTCCACCACACTGCTAAACCACCCTATCTTCCTACAGGATCCACATAGAAACCATTTGAAAACCCGAAACGATTCCTCAACCTTTCTAACTTTGATCTCCTTTGCTTCGTTTCACACAAAAAAAACAATTGAGGGATGATGTTTCTGAATGAGCTCTCTTAGAGCTCGAACTGCCAAGGGTTGTCCAAGCCCTTGACAGTTCCAAGACATAATACTCATTGATCTTCTTGTGGCTGTTTCGGGTCAGCCACCACCACCCTTTCATCTTGTTTGAAAAAAACTGGTAAGATATTTACCTCTGCTAATTCAATTGTTTGAGTCTTATGAATCATCCACTTTGTAGAGTCTTGTCCCTGCGGGTAAATTTCAGACCTTTCTGCACATATCCTCCTAGCTTCCATAAGTGCTTTCATGCGAGCCGCTTTTTTGATTCGAAGGACACATCTATTTCCGCTCGACCTACCTTTGCAAGATGTTTCCCAGCTGCCAATTAAATTAGATTCTAGCCCATCCTTCTTATGACCGAAAAGGTCACATAAGAGTTGATTGTCACTAGCTTGACCAATTTGGCTTATATCCCACATGCCTGGTTGGTGCTCGTAGACCCAATTGCTGATTTGGCTGATGAGCTCATTCTTTCTCTTTTTACTTAGGGCTTCCACTACCACTAGATCTATATCCATTTTTGCGGGCCGACTCCTCTTGCCTAAGAAGGATACTGGTTCCTTGCTCATTTCAAACTCGTTAGTGGCCCAAGTGCAAGTATCTTTGATGGACCCAGAGTCCAGCTCCATTTGTTGTATATTATCACAGCAACAGGTATGATGAGAAGTTCCCGCCTGAGGTTCCTTTTCAACAGGTTCAATGGTTCCCACCTAATATCCCCTTTCAGCAGGTTCGAAGGGAATTAAATGCGGAGAGCTGTTTTTTTCTTCTTTCTCAGAATAGGCGACAATAGAGTTGGCTGCAATTAATTCTTTGTCAGATTTAGACAATGACTGGACATGTTCTTTGGACAAAGGTTTGTGAGACTCTAAGTGACCGTGGGGCTCACGCGCCTTCCTTGGAACTTCTGTTTGTCTGTGCAACTTGCTTGAGCTCATACCAATCCCTGAAGAAAACTGCTTTTGTTTAGCCTGAGTAGCTTTCATCCAATGGCCATAGTTCTCTTTCGGCTGGTCGTCAAGCCTGTAAATGCAGTCTTTTGCTACGTGCCCAATCCTTCCACAAGTAAAACATAAATCTGGGAGACGCTCGTATTTAAAAGAGACCCATATGTAAGGCTTATCTCTTCTTTTGAGGTTGAAACCAGTTTTGAGGGGGTCCTCAATATTCACTTTCACCTTCATCCTTAGAACGTCGTTCCATCGAAAAGTTTCATGCGGATCAAAGTCGAGTTCCACCAGCTCGGGAAACATGGAGGCTATTTTCTCAGCATTTGACTTAGTCAGGTATGACATGAGAAGATTATGTGCTTGGACCCAAAACTCAGAAGTTGTAAAATCAATTTCTTCCAAAACTGCTTCAACCGGCCATTCTTTGAGCATCAGGTGTTTGTTCATGACTGACCAAGGGCCCTGTTGAATAACCCTCCTCTTGTCATTTTCGTCCTTGAAAACAAATAGGAAAACATTGCATTCTAACTCATGGATCTCCAAAGTGTCATGTAGTGGCCATGCTTTTGATAGGATAGCCCTGAGTGGCCCAAGCTTGATTACCTTATCTGATATGGCCTTCCCAACCAGAGAATGTTGCTTGACTTTCTGGTTCACCTCGTCATCAGTTGACAGCTCCAAAACATCCAAATCCTGTAATAAATGGTCATCAATGACCTCTCTTACTGCTAAATCCTCGTCTAACAGGACCATATCTGAATAAATGGAGTTATGAAAAGAGTAAAAGAGAACTGAGGGTAGGTGTGACAAGGACAGAAGTTAAAAAAAAAAAAAGGAGTAATAGTGGGAAAGGAAGGAAGAGAAAACAAAGGAAGGGACAGTTTAGAGACTGGGTCAGAGGGCATTAAAGTATAAAGAGGATGGGGAAAAAATGGAGCACCAGATTCCTTAAAGACTCCAAAGCTTTAGAATGGAACCGAAAGCCAAGTGTCAATAGAGGGAAAAGAGAAGCACAAAGGCTTATTTGCAAAAAATAGAGATTAAAAACACAGTGTATATCAAAGGGAAAACTAGTGGTGGAGGTAAAGAGAGAGACTAAGCCCCTCTTAGGAATAGGAAAGGGGAGAGTACGACGATGTCGACTCGAGAGAGTTCTACTCGAGGACGAAAGAACAGACCTATACAATAATCTGAAATTGAAACAAAGTTTTTAAGAACTCAAATAAATTAACAAAGGAAATTAATTACATTACATCCAAATGGTATTCATATTAAATATCTCTATTGTTCCAACACAATTTTATTTAAATATCTCTACTGTTCCAGTGTTACCTTAACCACACTTGCATTAAAGGAATTTAAGGAATCAAAAAAATCAAAATGTGTCTAATTGTTTACCACAGCGTGATTGTGCACTAGAAATTGAAGTATTGACAAAATGGTTACCACCATTGGCACCGCCTCCGCCACTGTCACTAGAAGTACCATTTTGAGTGCCCTGCTAAAAAATGTAAGACTTATAACACCTAATTAGAAAAACAAAAAATGAAAACCTTTGGATACATTTTATTTATTCAATTATAACAAAGGAAAAGTGAATACCTGTGGGGAACTCAAAGGCGTTGCAACATCTTGATATGGGAATTTTTCAGCAACAATCCTCATGAGCTTTTCCATTTGGGAGGCCATGCAAGCATTTTGAACATTTAAACGATCTGTCTTCTTTCTTGTTCAAGTCGAGCTTGGTCTTCTTTTTCTTGTCTTCTTTCTTCTTCAATTCTTGCAAGCTCTTGTTGCCTTTCTAATTCCCTTCGCTACTCACAAATGCAAAAGATGAATTAAAAACAAGGATAACAGCCCATTACACATGTCCAATCAAAATGAGGAAAACAGCCCAATATTATAATTTCCAACTTTTTTTCAACTAAGAAGGCAATGAACTTGCTAATTTCAAACCTGCATTTCTTGTCTTAGTTGTTCAATCTGTGATGAAGAAATTCCCTTTTTCTTTGAAAGGTTGTAAAGATGAGCATTGTCTTTCCAAAGGGATGTCGGTGTCACTCTCAATCCAAAGCCTCTAACTTGGTCATGTCTTCTTTCCCTAGCACCTCAGTCAAGATTCTGCTTTCAATTTCATCCTTTGAGAAATTTTGGGTTCCCTCATAAGAAGCGGTTGCCTGCAACTCAGCTACCCTTTCCTATATTAACAATTATCAATAAACAATTTCAGTTTACTTACCAAGAAAAATACTACACTAAATCCAAATGACCACTATGATCATTAACAACTAGAAAACTCACCATTGCAGCTCGAGATGCATCTTTAAGGGGTTCTCCATTTTTTTCTTATATGCGTCTTCTTGAATAATTGCAAGACGCCTAGCATCTTCGTTTTTTTTTCACCTATAAAGAAAAGCATAGAGAATTTGCATGTCATAGAAGAAAATAAGTGAAACTTTACGAAAACATCAACTAAGATTGAGAACTTTCAGAAAACAACAAGGTAAATTACTTACCAGCTCGTCTCTCACTCACGCAAAGCAAGAATTGTGAGAATATTTTTGATGTTCTCGGCTTTCTTTTCCTATTTTCGCCTTTTTCTATTAAGGCAAATGTTTTCATGTTAATGTAACAACTAAAATGCACAAATTTGTAAAAATTGTAATACTTAAAGATTTACCTTTCCTTCTGATGAGTGCCAAAACTCTGCCATGTCAACATAAAAATCTTGGGGTATAGTTAAAGGTCAACACAGCTGCTGAATTACTCGCTTTGAGTGGGTTATTATTGCATTTGAACCTTCTGTTTTTTCCACTTAGCCATTTTAAGTGTGTTGTATGCATAGTAAGAAAACCAAACAAAAATCAGAATACTATTAGAACTATTCAGAATAAAATACATACACGTAAGAAACCAATGCAAGAGAAAATGAAAAAAAAATAATCAGATTGCATGCATTTAAGGGGAGTCGTTTAGTCAACGGCATGACAAGAAAGTATTAGACCATATCCAGTAGCAGCAGTAGCAAATCATTATTGGTTTCAGCAAATAAACGCCCTAATGCATATAAATAACAGCAACAACTGCAGTAAAGACCAATAAAAACAAAAACCCACAAACTAGTAGCACCAGCAGATTTCATAAATAAGAATTTGTTATGAAAAAACCCTAAAATCTAAACGTTAAATCACATACCTAAAAAGAGAAGTTCAGATATAAAATACTAATTATATATGCAATACCAGATTTGAGAAATCATAAATGTAATACGAATTTTGAGAAAAGATACTAGATTTGTGATTGAAAGCGAAGAGAAATAACCGCAGAGCTCGCGCTAGCTTTGATACCTGGGAAGGCAAGAAACGAAAGGAAAGTTAAGTGAAGCGAGAGAGTCTCGAAAATATACAAGAAAAATTATGATTCCAAAACAACCCATCTTTAGAATTTAGCTAAATAAGACCTTAAAACAAGAAAAATTATGGTTTAAAAGAAATGAAAAGCCAAAAGTTTTACACTTAGAGAATTCAGTGACAAAAAAGAAGAACAAAAAATGGATTACCTATTGGTGAAAAGCATTCCAGCACAGTCCAAATCAAGCAAGTCAACACGAAAATGGAAAGAGCAAATATATTTGAGGAAAACGCTAAGGGCCGTCGGCCTGGCGCAGCTCTGCTTCAGTGCTTCTCGGATCTCGTTGACTTGGTTTCTTCAAAGGAAGAAGAAGAACTAACGTGGGTATCTAAGAAAATACATTCTCACGGTTTCGAAATCAAAGATAAGGAAAGAGAGTCGAAGAGAAGAAGAGTGGAGAATTGGGAACCCTGGCTTAAATATAATTAGGGATTTGGGAGGAGAAAAACTGAATTTAGGGAAAAAGACATGCGGTTGCACTTTGGTTCGATGAGAAAGAAATAAGACTTAGCAAATTTTAGGTTTCTGTTGAGTTACTATCCCCCAACACGACGTTGTTTTATCCCACTGAATTCTTTTTTTTAACCAGTCAAATATATTTTTCTCTCTAACAAAAATGTCAAATATAGCGGAAAAAATTTATTACCGCAGTTTGCAACGCAAATTTTTTTTTAACAAATTTCTAAATTCTTAGAATAGGGATTTGGGAGGAGAAAAACTAAATTTATGGAAAAAGACATGCGGCTGCACTTTGGTTCGAATGAGAAAGAAATAAGACTTAGCAAATTTTAGATTTTAGTTGGATTACTATCTCCAACACGATGTCGTTTTATCCCACTGAATTCTTTTTTTTAACTAGTCAAATATATTTTTCTCTCAAAAAAATGTTAAATATAGCGGAAAAAATTTATTACCGCAGTCCACAACGTAAACTTTTTTTTAACAAATTTCTAAATTCTTAGAATTATTACCAGGAAAAATTTTCCCACTAAAAAATTTTATTTTGAGGCGTTTCCGCCAATAAACGCCCCAATTTCGAAAATTGGAGAGTGGATAAAGTGTTCAAAAATAAATAAATGCTATACTAAAATAAACGTTTCAAGAACAATCACCATTCATATAGTATTTAAGTAATAAAAACAACAAAACTACATGGCATTCAAAACTAGTTAGTTACTTTGATGGAAAACTTGTTAGGGTTGTAATTTTCTTTAACAAACACCACAAAATAGTGGCACTTATTCTAAAAATACCACAAAATAGTGGCACTTTGTTCTACAAATGCCACTAATTTAAGTTTTTTCTGTAAAAATGACAGCAACGATTAAACCATTCCATAAGTAAAAATTCAGAAGAATCTCCCAAGTACAGCAAAACTTACAAGCAGCCTAAAGTTTTGACGATTATTAACTATTTTTTAGCAATTTAAGGATTTGAAAGAGCTCTTACCAGTTGAATGAAGAATGAAATCCAGCTACAACTAAAGAAGAGCTCACTAGTGATGTTAAGCTCTTGACCGAGGAATGAGCTGTGACGAGAAGGAAGCTGTGAAGTTGGGTCTAGAGCTGATTTGGAGATTCTTTTTAAACCAAAGAAGCTAGTTGTCTGCTGCATTTTCACATTCTTTCAGCTGAAACACGATTTTAGACATTGTAAATGTTGTCTGAAGCTGCCAAAAACGACAGCGTTTAAGAAAAAATACATCTAATACATAGCGGCGTTTCTGCCAAAACGCCACTATATATGGGTATTATGAAGCAAAACACCTCTAATTATTAAATATATAATTTATTTATTTGTGTTTCTAGAGAAAGAATATTATGTAGTGACGATTTACAAGAAAACGCCACCATATAGAGGCGTTTCAAAACAAATCGCCTCCATATAGTGGCGTTTCCGGCACAAAACGCCCCTAAATAGTTTATTTATTTTTTATATAACTTTTCCCCAAATTATTTTGGGGTGAAAATTTTCCCACCCATTTTTTCTCTTTAGCAACATTTCTGTAGAAACGCCATTATGTAGGGGCATTTTCGATAGAAAACGCCGCCAAATCTTTTACTTTATTTCTTACTTAAACGAATTTAGAGAAAAAAAATGCTTTTTTATTTAAATTATTCAACGGGAAAAAGTTTTCTACCATATTTTCTAATTTAGAGGCGTTGTATTATTGGCACACCTCTATATATAGGCATTTTAGGCTGAAACGCCACGATTCTCAAATTCAGAGAATTATATAGTGATGTTTTTTGAAACGCCTCTATTACAGCGTTTTTTAGTAGTGACGGCGCCATCGGAACTTAACGATTTTTCAATAACGGAGGGTGTAACGTGGAACAAAAATAAAACATTAGGGTGTAAAGAAAAGTAGGGTGCAAAGTAACAGTTAATATAAACTTCAAGGTGCAAAGTGGTATTTAAGTCGTTCCAATTTTAGGTTTAATTTGATCGTAGAACTTTTAATTTGGTTGATTGGAACAAAACATTTTAAAACTGCTTCAATTTAGGGCAATCACTCAAATAGGTACACAACCTTTTTCATGGAATTAGCTAAGATTTGGGTCCCCAATCAACCAAAACTAAAAAGTTTTATTTCAAATTAGACATAAATTGAAACATTTTGCGTTGAATTGAGCAAATGTCCTCTAAATTTTATGCGCCCAAACCAAAAAAAAAAAAGTCTTGTGGTGATTCAAAATTTTTATGTGTGCAAGCAAACAAAGTAGTAAATACCTTTAGTAAAGGGAGATTTACTCAAAAGTCTTTGAACTCATATGGCGGGAGATTAGTTGAGTAGAGAGTGAAGCCAACATTCTCTTCTCTTTACCTTCTCTGGTTAGAATTCATATTCTATACATTATCCATAATTTAACTTTTTTTTGGCATCAATATCCATAATTTAACTTTATGTTGCAATATTTATTCAATTCTATTCTATATGTAGAAAAGCAATTCAAATTCAAATTATCTTTAATTTTTGTAAGAATAGTTGCAAACCCGCATAAAAGTACAAAAGAAATTTGGCTTAGTGCCATTAACTAATTTCTGCCAAAACCTGAAATTTCAAAGTGGAGACATTGATTCAATATCTATCATTTTCCAAATCAGAATCAGAAACTTGTTTGTACCCAAGAATTTGATGAAATTTCCAGAGAAATAAAATGTGGGTAGCTTTTGAATTTTAGCTTCATTGGGGGTGGGCATGGCATCTATCTATATATCTTTCGCTTTAGTAAAATTAAATTTCCCTTTAGAGTAATACCAAAAAGATGATGAATAGTATTTGTTTGAAATTGTCTTACTCTTCTTATCTGACATTGTTATTGTCACTCTTTTATCATTTTCATGCTTGTCACTTTATAAAGTGCCTTCCATTCTTCAATTTAGTGATTTACCCCCTCATCAAAGCATATATATATATATGAAAATTAAATTTAAATAAATGTGAGACAAATGAAGAAGAAGAAGAGAATTTCTTATATATCCAAAGTAGAATCATTTTCAAAATGATTATTAATTATAATATGAAAACACACCTAAGTTAAGATTGTAAGAGTTATTCTCACACAAAGCATAAGAAATGAGAAACAATCTGCTATTATCGGTGTATGAGATAATAATCCTTCTTCCTTATTATATATAGAAAAAGGGTTGGAATGTAGAATTACTTTGATTTAATATTAATTCAGTTGAGGAATAAAATCAAAATTATAATCTTTGCTACTAATTATTTTCTAGCATCTCTAATCCATCACTCGAATTTAATACGAGCAAGTTGTTTGAATTTCAATTCAAGAAGAACATTAAAGAATTGGTCATGGGTGCTTACCTAAGAGACTGATCACAAAGAAATAAATAGTTGCATGCAATTGAAAAGTATATGACACCTATAG